ACAAAGGCAGCAGCATCTATCTGACAATGACTAAAAATAATAAAAACTATGATTATCAAACCCGCCTTCCATGCGTGGCAATAATGGCTAAATCCCCCCTACAAAATAATTCTATGGGGGTGGCCTATGTTTAGTTGTAGATTTTAAAAGGCTGTAATGAAATAACGAAATATATGAACACCAAAGGAATTACAAATTATATTGGATTCCATACTCACAATGGTGCACCTTTTATACCATATAACAAAATTTGTGTATAAATTGCTTGGTTTTGTATTAATAGTAAGCATTTAAATAAAACCAAGTGCATAAATGTCGCTTACTTTGGATATGTCATAAGCACACTGGAGTATGCGAACTGAGTGTAACCTCCGCAGTAGCAACAGGCAGATGGCCTTCAAGTAATTGTTTCGAGTCTGAATATATGTTCTTGAGCAATTTAGGTATGTAAACTGATCCTACGATACCGGAGAAAATCCTAGTGAGGGTTTTACGTTTTTTAAAGAAATAGAAGCAATATTGTAAAGAATAGAGTAGAAAAGTACGTTAAGAATATTGATGGCTCGCCGGCCTTTGAAAAATGAGTAGCCTTTTTTATTGAAGGTCCCTAATTCAGTGTTGGACCACCAATCTTCCAGATACTATGAATAGTATTGTGAAATTTGTCTCAATGTGCGATGGTAAAATTGAGTGGCTGGAATTAGTCCGAACAATTCCTCTGAGCACTCCTGTGAATCAAGCCGATCAGAAAGAAGCCGTTCGTTGATGATTCAAAACATTCCGTGCTGGATGTGATCCAGTAGAAGAAGCAGTTACTGGGGTACACCGGCCTAGCGATGAGAACAGTTTTACCATTAGGAGAGTTGCTCGATATGTTATTTTTGTATAGATTGCTGACAGGTCAAATAGATTCACAGGAGCTGCTATCGATGATATTGTTTAATGTCCCTTCAAACCGCACTTGTCTCACAATTAAATGTCTAAACCACGTGCCTTTGTTTCTTTTTTATAGAATAAAGGTAGCTCACAGTCCACCTGATGGTAAGTGGATGCTGTGGTCTATAGACATCTACATTTATCCTAGACTAAGAATCTAAATGCAGATTTGTTATAACCATTGAGGACTAAGACGAAGTACCTCATTTCCAGTAAAAAAGTTCTCCAGTTCCCTACAATAACCATACAAAACACAGCAGCATTAAGCTGCAAATTTATGCTGGTATTCTGTGAGAGCGTGGTCCTTGCCCGGTCGACCCGACCGTGCTACAACCATAATGTAGCTGCAGCGTGACATTACTTCGTTAAGAAACCGCATACGCACACTCACTTGCACGGGCACACGCACACGCGCGTTCTTTTTCTCCCCCTTTTACACACACACACGCCTCCGCCATGGATTACCTCGTAGGGGGAATATTTATCGTAGTTGCATCGTTTGGCCTAAATTTATAATTAGAACAATGCTTCGAAAATGATTTAGAATGTGCTTTGAGTGCGGCAGTTCGATAAAAGGTAGTTTTCGATATTGCTGACAGGCACTCCAATTTTATTTATATGTGTACAGATGTGATTATTTCTTTACCTAGACAACTCTGTGGTTCACAATAACGGAGAAGCTGGCGCTCAACGTGATTTTTGTAAAGCTGCGACTACTGGCAACTAAGTTTGACGACATCGTGGAGGACTACTCTGCTTATGACGGCAATATGGAAGATGCCTTCGTGCACTTCTTAGACGAGAGCCGATACAAGATCCGACCGAAGGAGACATGGTAGAATATGAACTTAATAAAATAAAATAAAACTCTGTACTCAATAATTTTGAATATTTACATGGTGTGCCAATCATGAAATAATTTGCCACCATTTACCGTTGACTTTATTTTTGCATTTATATATAAATATTTCTCTATTGTGATTTTTTATATTTAATAAAATGTTCATTTGTTAAAAGTTTGTTTTGTGTTCAATTATTAAAACTTGATTGATAAAAAAGAGACAAAAGAATACATTTATTTGGTACACACAATATAACAAATAAAAAAAAGAAACAAATAATTGATAAACAAATTTTCCATCCATGTCGTATAGAAAGATCATATTCACCAAAATATTCTCTTTATGGATTCTATGCTAATAATATACAAATTGTGCGAGTGCCATGTACGAAATGCTGGTAAGTACGATTTCCGAAATTCCAAATTTTAATAATTATTTTAATTATTTATATGTACCTCAAAATGGTCACATAACTACGTCCACATTTTGACGACTTTAGTCCGATTCTACTGTTTTCTTAAAGGATATCTGTATGTGTAGTTAGTATGTTAGTAAGCCTTGTAGACTATAATGCCAACGTTTCAATTCGACGTATTGCACTACACTTTGATGAACACGTGATTATGTTTTCGGTTAAATCGATTCTGGTTACTACTCGTATTTGCTAAGAAATAGAAAGTTGATACTTGAGCGGACTTTTATCGTACTACCAATAATTTATTGAACGTCACTTCTGTGTACTCAATTTTTTTTAGGGGCATTAACTTGTGTTTCTGAAACTATGATTCAAAAATAATCATTCTAAAACTTCTGGGTTTATGTTACGAAAGAAGCTCAAGTCCAGCACGACTATAAATGGACGTAGTTAAATTTATCGTCATGCTGCATATTTCACATATTATCAGATATTTCAACGGAAATCCGAAAGCTCACTACACAGGCATGGTATTCTAGAATGTTTAAATTAATGGAAGAGTCCCCTGCTAATTTCTCTCGATTCTCATGGGGCGTTTGTGGGTCATTCGCACAATTTCATCACACAATTTTGAAATGAGAATTGGTAAAAATATTTATATAAGTAGAATTTCACTAATTCATAAGTTTGCTTTTTTTTATAGGATGAGGGTTGCAAACGAGCATACAGTCCACCTGATGGTAAGTGGTTGCTGCGGCCCATAGACAGCTACATCTATCCTCTATTACAAATCAAAATGTAGATGCGTTGTCACCCGTGAGGACTAAGATGGAATGCCTCAATTCCAGTAAAGAGGGCCTCCGGCCACCTGCACTCACCAAGCGAAACGCAGAGGTAAACCTCTACTTCACGCTGGTTCTCTGTGAGGTCGTGGTACCACCCCGGTTCGAGCCGGCCCATCCGTGCGACGGCAAAAGCTGCCGCGTGGCTCTAGCACTGTTATAGTATAAAATTTTTCAAATAGCATTTTTTACAATGGCGGTATCTAGTGTCTGCCAGTATCTACCGACGTTCCAAACGGGTCCGGGTGTTTGACGCGTTAAATATAAAAATGGCCAGGCGGCTTGACGCGTTAACAAAGTCAATATTTAAGGCTAGCTGAGAGGTGTAGTCTAATGCTAGATAGCTTATACTATTTCTCATGAATCTGGCTATAATATTAAAAAAATCAAATCGGATTGTTGTAGTTCCAGAGATTAACGTGTTTAAACAAACAAAAAACTAAAAAGGACTTTCGCTTTATTATATTATTAAGTATAGATAGGATCAAATAATATGGAGCGCGCTATGAAGAAACTTTATTATGTGTATTCTTCTTCATGAACCCGAAAAAGTCATGGAGCTCAAGGGCATGGATTTCTCTTTATCATGATTAATTTACCTTAATCATCATTATTCACGCTTGGCAGGCTCATTGACGATAGCAGTACATGGTTTACATTTGACGTACTGCTCGTCGCCAGTGCGGGTATTTTACGTGTGTCTTAACCGGGATGTTTATAACGATATCTATCGGAAGATCAAAACTTTTCTGGTATTTGCCATGATCGAATCTTACGACAACCACATAAGAGCCATGCTGCAGCTATATTAATAATATAGTTGTAGCACGAATGGGTCGGCTCGACCGGGGAAGGACCACGCTCTCACAGAATACCAGCGTTAAATAACAGGTTATTGCTACTGTGTTTCGTTTGGTAAGTGTAGAAAACCGGAGACCCTTTTTACTGGAAAAGAGGCATTCCATCTTAGTCCTCACGGGTGACAACGCATCTGCATTTCGATTCTTTATCGACGACAGATGTGGGTGACCCATAGACATCAACCACACACAGCAACCACTTACCATCAGGTGAGCTGTGTGCTCGTTTGTCACCCTATCCTATAGTAAGAAAAACGGTATTTACGAGTTTTAAAAACTAATGGGAATATTGAAGTTAACTTGGTGTGTTCTAAATCACGGGTTGCACCTTTGGCAAAAACACTCGCCATACCTCAGCTAGAGCTAAATAGTGCATTGTTGCTAGCGCAGCTAGCAAATAGGGCTAGTAAAATAATTACATCTCGTTTAGCACATTCACTTCACTTATACAGTGACTCCCAGATAGTATTAGCCTGGATACAGTCTGAAAAAATAAAGGCTAATACCTTTGTTAATAATAGAATTAAGCAAATTGTTGAACTTACTGACAGGTCATCATGGTCCTATGTAAAATAAAGCGATATTCTTCGTGTGGCCGGTAGGCTTCAGAATGCAGGCATTCCGCGCGATAAAATGCATCCTATTATATTGCCAAAGAATTCCAAGGTAACATCTTTGATTATTGAGAGGGAACATCTTCGATTATTGCATGCCGGCCCTAGTTTAGTGCATAGTTCACTCTCACAGAAATACTGGATTATCAGTGGCATTAGAGAGATTAAAAAAGTATTGCACAAATGCTTAAAATGTATTCGGTTAAAGACTGAGGCTGCGAAGCAACTTATGGGCTCCTTGCTGGCAGAAAGAATTAATGCTACTAGACCCTTTCAGCATTTTGGTATTGATTTTTGTGGCCCTTTTAGCATGAAGGTAGCCAGGATTCGAAAACCACTTGTAATTAAAGGGTATGTTGCTCTATATGTCTGTTTTGTAACCAAAGCTATCCACATTGAGACAGTATCAGATCTTTCTACTGAAACTTTCTTGGCATGTTGCAATCGCTTTATATCAAGGCGAGGCATGCCAACTAAAGTCTTTTGTGATAATGCAAAGGCATTTGTTTATCCCCAGTTACTCTCCAGAGTTTGGTGGACTTTGGGAAGCAGGGGTAAAGAGTGTCAAGTACCATCTTAAAAGAGTAGTAGGCACCATGTGCTTGACCTATGAAGAATTTAATACTGCTATGATACAAATAGAAGGTGTTTTAAACTCTAGACCTCTGCTTTCACTTAATCCAAATGAAGGTAAATATTTAACACCTGGGCATTTTCTTATTGGGACAGCCATTTGCAGTTATCCAGAGGTCAATGTGTCTGAAATTTCATTTAACCGTTTAAAATTTTGGAAAGTTGTAACAAAACTGAAACAAGACTTCTGGAAAACATGGTCAAAAGATTACCTAACTCAGTTACAGAGTCGCCCAAAATGGAAATATGATTTACCTAACCTAAAGGAAGGTGATATTGTACTGGTAAAACAATTCAATACACCACCTTTAGAATGGCCTCTAGCTCGTATTGTTAAGGTGTTTCCAGGCAAGGATAAGAATGTAAGAGTAGCCGAGGTAAGGTATAATAATAAAGTGTATTTAAGGTCCATTGCAAAATTGTGCCCTCTACCTATTAATTAATTATTTTTAAGGTATATTTTTACTTTTACATGCTCTTTTTTATTATTGTCCTGATATTTAGAATACAGAAAATGAGTTGCAAGATGTATTATTGTAAATTCTCGCCTGGCCCTAACTATGTTCAATACATGAACATAAAAAATTTAATTCTAAATTTGTGGTAAACCTGTACCTTTAAAAGGCAATGTGATTTGTAGGATATAATTTAAGTTGTTACTGGCAACATTATGTACCTAAAAAGGAAGTGGAAAAATGGCATTCGTTGGCTAGTAGTGTCACAGTGTGCGCTAACGTTTTTATCTTTATTAAAACAACACCATCAATTTTGACAAAATTATTTCTAGTAGTATTTCGACTTCCCGGAACGTCGGTGCTTCAAGTCGTTCTTTAAGATATTCCGGGGAGTCTGCAGTGCGTGAACATGTTTCAGATCGTCAACGCCATTACATTAGATTTGATAGACCAAAAATCCTCGCAAAAGAACACCGATTCCTATCAAGGATGATTCGCGAGGCTTTTGAAATTAAAAAAAAAAAACATCCTAATGTCAATAGACAAGATTGATGGGTGCTGCCATCTGCTGGGGATCCTATAATTAATAAAATTAAATCCAAACCCAAGCATACCACTGCAAGACTTTAAGATACTGTAAGCTCATTCTGCGTAGATCGGATCAAAAATAAATATTCAAAAACTGAAGGTAGGGCTAATTATTACATCGGGACGTCAAACACCTCAGTCCAACACCTCAGTCCCCTCTGTGACCATGGGTGCTGTAAAGCACCCGAAACGTCGGGAATAAAAAAGTTAAACGCGATAAAATCCGTAAAAATTAGTTTCATTTAATTTATGTCCGTACAAATAATGGCGAAAGTGTTTTGCTGCCCACACTATGGCTAGCAATCCTTTTCTATTGTACTTTAATTTTATCGTCGTTGGGTTCTAAACCATTTTTATAAGTAAAGTACTTCCTTTAAAGTACTTCCTTTCTTAAGAATTCGTACTTGTCAATAGTCATTTTGAAATTAGTTTGCCTAATTCGTTCAAATATTCGTCTTAATTTATGGATGCGCTCTTGTAAACTATTGAAATAAATTATGATGTCATTTAAATAGACAACGCAATGAATACTTTGTACGCCTCTGAACACGTTGTCCATTGCCCGTTGAAAAGTAGTTTTGAGTCCACGGCATACGTGTAAACTAAAAATGTCCTGACGGAGTTGTAAAAGCTGTTCAAGATCGATCTTGTTCATCTTGCTAATATATTTGATGTTTGATGATAGCCACTTGCAAGATTTAAAATACTAAAGTATGTTGACTTTCATAATTTCTCAAATAAATCATTAATCCATACTTCCTCCTATACTATCCTGAAAATGATAGGAGACAGATTGGACTGTCGTCTCTTCCGGCATTGCTACGACAAACATGTCCCAGTAATTGTGGGAGCGAGAAGCTACTAATATCAATTATGTGTAATTTAATTTTTTTGTATTTTGATGTATTTTAATTGTATTTTAATGACATATCATTATTTTTATTATAATAAATAAATGTATTTCATTTATATGGCTCTAATGTTATCTGAAATAAAATTAATTTGAATTTGAAATTTGAATCAATGTTCGGCAGGGGATATATATATTTTCGGTTGTTATATCATTAAGATGACGGTAATCAATTACCGTCCTAAATTATTGTTCACCCGAAGAGTTCATTTTCTTTGGGACTAGGTGTACGGGGGTACTCCAAGGCGAAAATGATTCTTGTATTACGTCATCTTTAATAATTTATTAATTTTTCTTTGTATTTCCTCATTATGAGACGGTGGTAAAAAAATGGTAAAAAGTATATAAATGGGATCTTCATTTTTTGTACGAATTTGATGTTTAACTTGGTTAGTAAATGTAAGGGGTAACTCTATATTTATAGCATAGATTTCTGATAGCTTGAAGCTCTTATAAATTGGGGTGATCTAATCGTAATTTAGATTAATTATTAATTCCGTTATGGGTTGTAATTAGCTTGTGCTCCATGTGGGATACCGAATTCAAAGTTATGATTCACTGGAGTATTAAAATTGTTTGCAGAAGCGTTAGATTGGTTACCTAAAACCTTTTGAATTATTCGGTGTTGATTGCGAAGTTGTTTTATTATCAACTTCAGTTTTATTTTTAGTATTATATTCAAACTGGAAATTAACTTCTTCCATAACCACACTAAGGGCATTTTCTAAAGTCACCCAATATTAAGACGCGCAATTCGAATCAAGTCTTCCGGTAAATTATGCAAAAACACATTAAGACACATGTTATTACAAATAATAATTTTTGCTGCTTTAACACATTTATCAATGAGCAATTTGACCTTAGAGAAGAAAGTGCTGCGTGTATCTTGAATTCTGTTACAAAATTCGATATAGGATTCAGCAGATTGAATTTTGAAGTTTTCTAATTCAATTGCAATGCATTCTTCTGATCTAAGATCACCAAAATGTTATATAAATAAAAATTTTAAACTTTCTCAAGTGAAAATATCATCCCTTTCACTTAAAAGTGATGCAGCTTTACCGCACAATCTACTTGTTATGTTGTGCAGGATTGTTCGGTCCATTAAAATCTCTTCTGATCTGAATTGAATACTGCTTTGATCACCATCAAACATAGGGATGAAGCTTAATAAATCTTTAGGAATAATTTTAACAGATGGACATACTCTTTCTCGTTCCATTTTTACAAAAGAAATTATTTAATAAACTTTTATTAAATATTATCATAATGTAAATTTTTCAATAATGCAATCACTTTTTTAATTACAATAACTTTATTTTCATTCAATTCAATTTATTTTTCTTAATAATAATATTCACATATACGTTTTGTGCACAAGTCAAATAACTTTCAACGATTTTAGTTGAAAAGTTACGATATAGAGTCAAAAAGAAACGACCACAGGGAATAACTAGGATGAAACAGGATAGTAAAAAGGTTTACGTACAGTCCGCTCAATCTCATGTCTACCCGTAGAACTGCTCTTCTTTGGACAGAATTTCTTCAGCCCTGATTTAAGTCATTTATTTGGTTCAAGGATATCCGGAACCGTAGACAAAACCAATTTGAGTTTGCTTGAACTCTTCGGGAGCGGTCATCATCATCATCATCATCATCATTACAGCCCTTCACAAGTCCACTGCTGAACATAGGCCTCCCCCAAAGAATGCCACAAAGCACGGTCCTGAGCCACCTGCATCCATCGACTTCCTGCATGTCTTACCAGGTCGTCACTCCATCTCGTGGGAGGACGCCCTACACTTCGCCTACCGGTACGAGGCTGCCACTCGAGAACCTTTCTTCCCCATCGGTTGTCGGTTCTTCGAGCTATATGGCCTGCCCACTGCCACTTCAGCTTACTAATCCGTTGGGCTATGTCGGTCACTCTGGTTCTACTGCGGATATCCTCATTCCTAAGTTTATCACGCAGAGAAACTCCGAGCATAGCCCTCTCCATAGCTCGCTGAGCGACCTTAAGCTTCCTCGTACGGGAGCGGTGCTGACGCTTTTTAAAAAGAACTAAATACGTCTCGATGACATTTATTACTATTACTTTACAATAATGTATTAAAACTATTTGAGTGCAATACTGACTTTCTTATATAAGTGAATACATGACTACGATGAGTTATATAATGAATCTTATTCTATATTCAACAGCTTATATATGTAGCATGGTCAAAAGAATTTTGTTGACTGAATGTATGACGCCTTGGTTGGACCAGCAATAACAACTATACGAGCACAGTGGATTCAGCGTCTTCTGTAACGTTATACTTCATAACATGTTATCAGTAATCTAATATCTTTATAGGCAAAATTCGTGATCAACATGTTATTGTAAAATCATGGCTACTTTCAAATATCGTGTTTACGAGTACGCTAATACCGAAAGCTTAGTCAGGACAATTTTAGATCAACAGGTTGTTATGATGTTACGGCTACATTCAGACTGTATAGCTAGGTGTAAACGTTGAGTGATTAATGTCAAATTATATTCTTCTTTTATAGAAATAGGGTGACAAACTAACACACAGCTCACCTGATAGTAAATAGTTGCTGAGGCCCATAGACATCTACATCTATCCTCGTTTGCGAATCAAAATGTAGATGCGATGTCACCCGTGAGGACTAAGATAGAATGCTTCCTTTCCAGTAAAAAAGGTCTCCGGTTCTCTACACTCACCATGCGAAACACAACAGCATTTAGCTGCTATTTTACGCTGGTATTTCGTGAGAGCGTGGTCCTATCCCGATCGAGACGACCCATTCGTGCTACAACCATAATATAGCTGCAGCATGGCTCTACCACATAAAAAACAATTCCCCTAACTATTCCAATTCTGATGTTGGAAATTATTCTTAAAATTATTTAAATAAAAGAACACAACTCTGAAACAAACCCTGCTTATTATCAGGAGCCCAATTACACGATAACACCAAATTATGCAAACCAACAGCATCACTAGCCATCTCAATGTAACACAAGGGAGCCTCTCAGCAATACGACCTTCCTTGCCTATACTAATAGAATACTCCAACGGGTAATACGGCAATAGTAACGACAGTGGGACTCTTAGAATTAAAGACTAATGCCTCTTAGTTGCCTGTGCGATACTTTATACTGCTAAAACAAGTGGGAGTTTACCGTTCTACCTTCATTTGTTCGTTTTTCCTTTTATTTTTTTAGCCTCATTCCCAACAATATTATAAATGAAATAATGTATTTATTGTACAGTCAATCGGGGTAACTTTGATTAACAAGGGTAACTTTGACAGTCAAATCGCACAATACTTTTTTACTTTTTACGTACACAACATATAGTGCATAACATTCGTGTACATAACAAACTTCGTAAGCGAACTCTCTGGACAAAAAAGAAGGTGTCTTACAAAGTTAATGTCAAAAATTTATTTAAAAGTACCGCGCGTAACTGTTGTCTTTTTG